ATAACAGTGTTTTTTATACATTTATAAGTGTACAATATGGTTGGCAAATCTAAATTACCATACTTCTTTATTGTGTTTGAAAACTAAAAACAATTTCAAAATTGGTTTTTTCACAATGTTATAAAACAGATGCATAATCGAAGATGATAGCATTGTTCAATTTCCAAGCAATATGACATACTAGACATTTGAATTACCCTTTTCAAATGCTTTTGAAAGTTTGGTTTTGAATTTTTTGGGATTACTTGTTGCCATTATAAAAATAAAAACCAAAATTAAATAAAAAACTGAAAAGGAAACCTAAAATTATAACAAACAAAATGCAATGAACAACAACAGCAAGACACACATATGTATTATTACATACTCCATAACCCCCCTAGAACATACATATATGCAAATGCAATTTCACAAAATACCTACAGATATAAATAAAAACAACAAAAAGAAATCAAGAAAAAAAACAAATAAGTGATTTTCCAACACATCCTTCTCCCCTTCTCCTCCACCTCATTGATAATTTGTATAAGTATTTTTTCTACTCATTTGTACCTATGCTTTAAAACAAAAAATAAAAAATCACAAACACCTAAACATAAAAATTGAAAATATAAAAATTGAAATTTAACAAAAAAAACTATTAAGTAGTTGTCTCAAAGATTGCAAAAAACGAAAAAAAAAAAACAAAATTAAATAACTTGTTGGTAAATAATAAAAAAAAAACAAACAGTAAAACAAATTTAATTATAGACATGTTAATGGTAAAATATATATATGTGTATGTATTATATATTTTTTTGTTTTTTTTTCTATACTTTTAACCGTAAATATTATACATAAAAATATAGAATGTTTTGTTATTATTATTTTTTTCAATTTAATATTTTTTTTAGTTTTTAGGAATTTTTTTTAATAATATTCACACATATTGCTGGTAACACATACATACATTTAAATGAATTTGAAATGCCCCAAAAATAAACATTATTTCCAATACCAGATGGATATACAAAAAATATTTATTTTTTTTTTTCAACAACAAATAGCATTTTACAAAAAATATTGCAAATCATGTATAAATTCAAAATTCCTCAAAAACCAAGAACATTTTTCTCTATACTTTGTCATTTTTTTCATCTATTTTCTGAGTCTGCAACATTTTCTTCTTCAACCTAACCTCAATTTTATTTTGTGCGCGATTTTAGAAAACTTACGCAAAACTTTGACATTTTGACATCTAAAATATTAATTATTATTAATTATTTATGAAGAAGGAGTCTGGACCATAGAAATCGGTTTGTAAAAATTGATTTTAAAATTTCTTAAAAAAATACCAATTGAAGACCTGGGAATAACCACATTAGGGTGTAAGAAAAGTACAACGTTGTATCTTGAAATAGTGCACCCTCTAATATTTCGGAATAATCGGCCCAATTACGGTTGTCGTTACTATAGTGTTCGACTTTATGTGCAAGTTGCCCTCGCCGTCGCTTCGATTCAAAACTGGTATTACGGTAAGGCATAGAAGCGACATCGACAGTTCAAAATAAAAGTTGGCAACAATTATAAAAACGTTGGCAACACTCCCTTGTTATAGACAAAAAAGACAATCCGAAAGTGCGGGTTCAAGACCCGGGCTCGACGGATCCATTTTCCAATATACAATATATGTAACGCTTATGAAAATATCTACCCAACAAGTGGTCACTTAATGGGGCTATTTAAAGTGGTTCGGATTTTTATAAAACCCCCCAAAAAGTCAAAAAAAGGGCCCAACAAAATTGATGCCAAATTATAGCTGACCCTTACCTGACCTCTTACCTTCTCACAAAATTACTGGATTCGGGTCTTGAACCCGGACTTTTGAGTCAAAAATCTGGGGAATCATAGTAATAGTTTCCCGGAATCAGGGTTAAAAGAACTACCTCTTGAAAAAAAAAATTTCGAAAAAATCGAAAAGTTTTTACTAAACTAGAGTTGTTTCGAATGGCCACAGAAATTAGGTATTTTAGCGCTATGGTCCTTAGTAGACCTGTGTCGGAAATGACTTCAATATTTCCAAATTGGTTTGCTGTTGTTATTTTCATGGTCAAATGTCAAATACAAAATGGTTAAAAAATACCAACGTCGTCACAATTTTTTACGGCGACAGATATTCTCTAAAAACGACATCACGTCATCAACTGTTGTATCGACAATGATAATAGCAATCATTCATCGCTATCGACAAAAAACGACAACCTTAGTACTGTTATTGTCGCCTCGACTTCATTTTGCGTCGACGACGACAACAAGCGTAATAGGGCCGAATCTTCCGATGATAATTACATCTGTTTCAACCTAACCTCAATGTTTCCCAGCTGTGTAGTTTCAGAGAACATAGCCAAAAATCTGGTGTTTCCCATTACACCGGCACAAAAATTACTCTTTTTTACGAAAATTCCTAATTTGTCAATCTAAATACCATATTTTATGAAAACTTGTTCGGTGTAAACAAGGCTTTATACCCCAGACAGCTTAAATTCGATTATTGCCCGAATAGTGAATTTTCTTTAAAAAATCATGCGTTGCAGGACTTGTCAAAGTTTATTCATTCAATATATTTGTTTTTCTGAAAACATTTAACACTTTTTTTGCAAAAAAAAAAAAAAAAAACTTTTCATCAACAACAATTGAAAAAAAAAAATTTTTTTTTTCAAAAATAATTTGGGGCTAAATGAAAAATAATGTGAAATTATACAAAAACAAATGTAATAAAAATAGCAGCTCGAATTTTATTTCATTGTTTAAATATTTTTTAAATACTAATTTAATTTATAGTAATTATTAAACATACAAATATAACTGTCTATTGTATATAAAATTGAATTTTCCATTCACACACCACAAATCACCCGACAAACACAGACAAATGAAAATAAATAAAAACATAAAAAACATGTAATTATAAGATTAATTAAAAAAAAAACAAAGCTTCAATGAATCGTTAAAAAACATAAATACACGTTTTTTTCTTCTTAAAACACAAACACACATAAACTTTTTTTAATATTATCGATTAATTTAGCTGTTAAGTTCTCAAATAAATAAAAAAAAAACAAAAAAGTGTTGTATTATGAAAACAATATAAAAATAAAATATAAATTATAAAAAAATGCTATGATACACATTAAATATAGAGGATACACATTACAGAAAGAAAATACAAAAAAAAAAAAAAACAAGAAATGATACACTACAAAACAAAATTCACTACGTACATATGTTTAGAAATACATAGTTATATTGACTAAAAAAAAGATATTATAAAAATGAAATAAATTAAAAAAAATGAAACATGTTGTTTTTCTCACTGGAAAGTATATTTTTATTATTATATAATTATGTTTTTTTTTTTTATTTACACACAACGCAATTTTAGTAAAATATTTTCAATAATTGTATCAACCTCAGCCATGGCCCCGTTGCCCGTATCACCACACATCAGAGTTTTGGAAACGGTTGGAACTTCATGATAACCCCAGGATTTTAATTTGTTTATATGTTCACTGGTTACGGGATGATCAAACATGCGCGTATTCATGGCTGGACAAAAGAGTAGAGGTTTCTTGAAATCCCAAGCACGCACCACGCACAGTAATAAATTATCACATAGACCCTAAAATAATAGACAAAAAAAAATCATTAGGGAATTGCTAACCAAATACGTATGTCTTAAAGAGCTTTATAAAACATCAAGAACAAGTAAAGAAGGTGTTAAAAAATACGTAATGTTTTAGTCAAATAGTCTTTCGTTGCGGGCATCCAATGCTAAATAGTAGCCCAACCAGTTGCAAAATGTGACTTAGGACCATGGTAAAATTAAGAAGGTAAAGTCATTTCAAATAAGCAATTCCATCCTTGTACGTATAATGGATTTATAAACAAACTTTTTGACAATGAGATGTTGTCAAATGAATAATTTTGAAAAAAAATTGTAAACATATGATTGCATGACTTTACCTTCTTAATTCTACCATGCTTAGGACTTTGAGATACCAATAATTTGCGGGCTAACATCACAGGGTGAGATAAAAAAACTACCACAAATTCAAATGCCACAATTTTTAATTTTTTTTCTAATTTTTATGAAAAAAAAAAGCAAAAAAATGTCGGAAATAGCATCAAATATTTGAATAAGTTTAAGGGCTAAGTACATAAGAAGCTTGAAGTCACGGCTAGGCATATTTTGTGACATTCACAAAGGGATTACAGAGCCGCACTAAAATCCAGCCGTCGTTTTCCATTATAATTTGACATTAATATGCCTAGCCATGACTTCAAGCTTCTTATGTACTTAGCCCTTTAGATTTGTTCGAATTGGTCATTTGGCCCATTCCCGGCGAAGCGCTTGCTTGAGCTGTCACTGGAATAATTTTAACAGCTGTCAGACGAGTTGTTTAGATCAATATTGAGTATTTTTAGCAAGGATATAGATTTAGTTAAGTACCGGTACTGAGACTTATGTCAATTAAAAATTTTCCGGAGGACGATTTTTTTGCCAATAAAAGCCCTAGCAATTAACGTTCAATTTGTTGTTCAAAGGTATCACTTTTTGATTTGTTTGATTTTGAAAATTAATTATCGCAATTCTCCAACAATGGAGCCTAATAATGATGTAACCAAACACTGGATGAGATAACATTTTTATTAAACAAATCAAAATATTCGTATTTCGTACTTACAACTGCAATTTTTGCCAATGAGTTTGCACTTAACGGTGCTATTACCAGCATATCTGCCCATTTTCCCAAATCGATGTGTAAAACAGGATCACCTCGTTTTGTCCACGCATTCCATTCACTTTGGTCATCTAATATTTCTATGTTTTTGGGTAACTCGGAGGCTTTGACAAAATGTTTGGCGTTCTCAGTTAAAATTACTTTAATCTAAAAGAAAGAGGGAAAAGAATTAGTATTTCGCATTAATTCAGGAATTATAATCATTAAAAGAATACCAACATTAAAGCTAAATTCCGTATCTAAATTTTGTAGTTTTTCAATTAGCAGTGGTAACTTGATGGTGGCCACACTTGCTGTACAGGCTAAAAGTAGATTTTTTGTTGTTTTCATTTTGTCCGATTTGGCGTTGACGTTGTTGTTGTTGCTTCCTTTTGCCTTTCCGATTTATCCTCAAATCCTAGCTTTGACCATTCAGCCTTTTCCATAAGTTCATTCTTCATGCGACAGTTTAAATATTCTCGTGCCTCGTTGCGACACTGGGCACTTTGGTCGTCACTTTGATGTAAACACCGCATATACAGTAAATAGTATTTCTTGCAAAGACCTTCGTGATCAAGAGGGAAGCTACCTTTTTCCGGGGCAGTGGGTATAAACTTGGATTGGTTGAAGGTATTTGAGGTCATTTCAAGAGTTGTGTTGTTCCGGACCGATTAGTTCAATGGAACGGCGGCTCAGCGAAAGGCACGAAGGGAACTAAATTAAGCTTTTTTCGTTCATCTTGCTCCCTTAGCTCACATAGTTACCTTAGTTCATTTCGTTCATTCATCTTATGTCATTCTCTTTGTTTTTTGTTTGTTTTTACTTTTAGAGTTGCTTTACACGTGGGGGTTTCTCCAAAGGGGTGTCTTGTCCTTAATTTTTAGTAATTTTGCATAGGGAATTTTGATAGGGAATTATTTTTTTGGTTCTTTAAAATTTCGTTATTTTTAAATGTAATATATGGATCTATAGCAAAGGAAGTGTAATGTTATTAAAAAAAAAAAACAAAAATCCCAAGTTAGGAAAATGTATTCTTTGTTATCATTAAAATGGTCGAAAACGTAAACAATTATTTTTATTTAGATTGAAAAGACCTATATAGACACAGAAGGGATGGTACGCATTACAAACTCTAAAAAATCATATTAAAAATTGCCCAAGAACCATGGCCCAACAAGAAAGGTTTAACGTGCAACAATTGGTTTTGTTTATTCTATTTTTTATAAAATTACTCCACTGGGGAATACCCCAATATATATTGCGGTTTCCCACAAAATTGAATCGATAATAGGGGGATAATATTGTTTTACCCCAAAATTATGTATCTTGTTTCCCGTTAACATGGAAAGTATGCATTTCTATTGCATCTAGCTTGAAATATTTTCAAATTACTTTATTTTTGAATCAAAACAATACACACACATATACAAACTGTATATATGTTTTGACAGAATAGGGACACCAAAAAAAAAAAAAATAAAAATATTTTGGCAAAAATAAGAAGATTTTTATATGTTGTCTTATACGTCACAAATCGGGAGTTGTTATGATAAGCATTTCTCAATAATTCTTAAAAATTTCAATAATTTTTCATTTGAAATTTTCAATTCCAGAATTGGTTTGACAGTTCAGCAGTCCCAGCAGCTGTGTCGATGCGACAACCTGTATTCTTCTATCATAAAACGAACCCTATTGAAATTGGTTGATGGTATGCAGTTCGGATTTGGATACAGCTCCCACACATATCTTCGCTTTTGCATAAATAATTTTAAACGTAAATAATTTTTCCTCACGGATTCCACGTAGAAAAACATTTGACAGCAAGAGTGGACTAAAGGTGAGGGTACATAAGCAGCTTGGCATCATGGCTAGGCATATTAATGTCAAATTATAAGGGGAAACGACGGCAGAATTTGAGTACGGCTCTGTCATCCCTTTATGTCACAAAAATTGCCATGCGAAGACTTCATGCCGCTTATGCACCCGCACCTTAATTCCTTTGAGACCTATGTCCAAGAGAAATTGCAAGTACGAGTAATTTTTTCCCTTTCCATCAGCTTTTCCTCTCTCTATCTCTCTCTCCTTCAAGGACCTGCCGCAATTAAACTCGTCTCACCCGATTAGACATTTAAGACTTATAGCTCCCATATATTAGTACAATCCGTATTCAAATTTAAACAATCCTAACGCCGTACTTCACATACACATTTGTTACCCATGAACCCGCTAAGTGTTGTGGATTATAGTCGTTCCCGTTCGACTTTTTTTCTCTTCCTTGCAGGTTTGTCTCTCATCCGACTAGACATTTAAGCCTTATAGCTCCCATATATTAATACAATCAGTTTTCAAATTTAAACAGCCATAACGACGTAATATAGAGGGTGAGAAAAAAACTGCAACAAAGTCAAATGTCATAATTTTTACATTGCTTTTTTTAATTTTATTGAATGAAAGCAAAAAATATCGGAAATAGCATCATATTTTAGAATAAATTTAGATTTGTTCGAATTGTTCATCTTTGGCACGAATTATGGCCTTCAAATGGCCAATGAAACCGTCACACGCTGCCAGAATGTTGCTCTGCGATATTTTGACCCTTTCCCGGCGAAGCGCCGACAATCTTCTATTTTTTAGTGGCAACCTTGCTTTCCAAAATACTCCAGACACATTAGTCAACGGATTGCTGGACAACGAATGTTTTCTAGTCGGAGAAAACCAAATTCGGCAGTTCACCACTTTCCGCAAAGCAAAGCAACTCTTCAAATATAGAGTGATCACACTACTGCGCTTGAATACCATCACGAATAACTTTTTTTCTAGAAAATTCTCATGTCCGCTTGTAAACAATATAATGAGCTGTCACTGGAATAATTTTGACAGCTGTCGGACGAGAGGCTGAGAACCGACAGCAGTCTGAAGTTGGTTGCAGTTTTTTCAGCCAAATATAAAGAGATCACACTATTACGCTTGAATTCCATCACGAATAACTTTTTTTCTGTAAAATTCTCATGTACGCTTGTAAACAATATAATGAGCTGTCACTGGAATAATTTTGACAGCTGTCGGACGAGTAACTTAGAAAAGACAGCAGTTTGAAGTTGGTTGCAGTTTTTTCATCTCACCCTGTATTAATTCAATCCGTTTTCAAATTTGAACAGCCCTAACGCCGTAAGGCACATTCAAAAGCATTCATATTTTCATTTACTCAACACAAGTGTTGTGGAGTACCTTAAAATCGCTCCCGGTCGATTTTTTCTTTCCTTAAAGGTTTGTCGTCTCTGTTGTAATCCAAAAAGTTTTTATTATTCAATTTTTTTTCACAAAAAATGCAAACCATTCGAAGTACGACTTTAATAAAAAATATAAAACAAACAAACTATTTATTTATTTAAAAATGTATGTTTATATTTATTTATGTTAATATATGTGTTTTAATGTGAAATATTACAATAAAACAAAAAATAGAAAAGTAATGACAAAAGGGAACTTATTGTTTAAATAATCAATTTTATTTATTAAAAATATTTTTTTTGTTTTTTTTTCTCATTTGGATTTATATTTGTGTAGTTGTTTTTATTTCTGTTTATTGTTGTAAATATATAAATACGAAAAATGTATTATTTAGTATTGCTCCTCCGCATGAATAGCTAACATGGGGAAAGCGAGCGTGTTGTGTTTTCGTTCATATTTCATTTGATATTTCGAAAGGCTTTGGGGGCCTGGGCCCGCCCCTAAACACACACAGAACAATTGAAAATGTTTTCGTTTTGTTTTTATGAAATAAATTACATTAAGGGCTAAATAGGACGACTAAAAATCCGTTGGGTATATCAATAAAAATAAATGTAAATTAAAACGTAAAAAATGATGATCAGATGATATTCAGATTCAGATCACCTGCTATTGTATTCCATCAACTTGCGGTTTTTGAAAGAATAGATCCACTAAATACTAATCAACGAATTGAAATAAAACTAGAAATTAAATTATTTTTTTGCAGTGTTAACAACAGGTAATAATAAATATATACAATTGGAATTCTACATGGTGTCATGGTGTAAATGACAAGTGATAACATTGGATTTATGGCCACCATCCAATGAGTGAGTTGGGGGATCATAGATGCCAGGGCAGCATCTTTACATTATGGAACACAGTCCAGATGTTTCGTTGCCACACACCACCTTCTCCTTTTTCCGCAGGGAGGCTTTTTGCAGAGCCGGTTTCAATTCGTAGGTGATGGTATCTTCAACGGGAGGCGGTGTGGGTGTTTTGGCAGGTGGTGGTGGTTGTTTGGCGGCGGGCACAACAACATTGGCCTGGGGTATGGTTCGACTTACAGTTGCCGTGGGACCATTATTGCCGTAAATACTGCCTATTACAGATATGGTACTTACACTGTTCTCACTGGCAATGGAGGGTATTGGATTAGAGTGCTCCTCAAACAACATGGACCCACCACCAACCACAGAGGATTGTGTGCTACAAATTGTTGTTCCGCCACCGCACAAAACTGGTATGGTTGATATTGTTGGTATGTGATTGAATGTGGACGTTGCTGCAGCAGTGGAGGATGATGTCGAAGTACTACTACCACCACCTAAATTACCCTTTGATTGTTCACTACCCAAATAATTTTTAGAATTATGATTTGAGGCTGAGCTATTACTACTACCACCGGTGCTATTGGGATTTACACTGTTCTTGGTAATATTTATTTTGATCTTATTAACTAAACTAGCCAAGGGCATTGTAGGAGCTAAGCCAACGGCAGAGAGGTTATGTTCATCGCCAGTTTCCATATTGCCATCCATGGAAATATTTAAATCTGTGGCCGGTGGATTGTCCGTTGTGGTTTCCGTGTCTTCATTCACAACCGAAGGCGTGGAGGCGGGCCGTTCCTGTTGACCCGGAGACAGGGCTGATGTTGACGATTCAATGGTTTGTGTCTGGGTTTCTTCTAAGGGTTTGAAAACATAAAAAAAAACATAAGTTTAAGTTATTTACAAAAAAAACCCAAACACATGATGTAGATCTACTCACCACTACTGTGTATGGAAATCTCCTCGGGGGCAATCAACACGGTGCCCACATCCTCAAACCCATCATCTTCGTCTTCCTCATCCGCATTGGGTTCTTGTTTGATTTTGATATTCATAAAGCCCACACCTGCCTCAGGTTCGGGTAACTCTTTCTCCACGTACGTATCCAAATCAGTAAAGGGTATATGGGGCTCTTGTATTTCAACATCAGATTCTGTTGTTTCATTTAGTTCGCCATCGTCATCTTCGTGAATATTACCCATTTGTTCACGTGTCACATTTGCCGGCACATATTCATCGTCGTCATCATCAATCTCCGTAACGGATGGTTCTTCGTTGGGCAAAACAATGACATCGTCATCATCATCGTCGTGTTTCGATGTTGTGGGATTTTCTGTGAAAGGAACAAACAAATGTGATTTTAAAGAATAGAATGGAATGGATATTTTTAGCACGGAGTAGCTTCCAAGAGCTATTCTACCCATAAAAGAATCCATAGAAAGTTCTACTGAAGGGTAACGTGTTCTTAAAACTCCTGAAGAATTTTCTCTCCATAAGGGACCATTTAAAAGTCTTATATTCATATAATGTTTGAAAAGCTCCCTCCTCTGAGGATTTTTGTAAATTCTTCTATGCCCTGAAGATTCCCTCAAGGGTAATTTTCTATAGGACGTTCTCAAAGTTCTTTAAAAGACCCCTTTCCAAATGCTTTCCAAAACAAAGATATTATGCCAAAAAAAAAACTCTTTCCTCCATAGAAGGATACCATATAAACTGCCCTCTATTCCTAGACGACAATCTGAAACTTTACTTTTTACCATTCAGATCCTCCCAAAGGCCTTTTACCCCCAAAAAGATCTCTTGAATATCATTCAATATCTACGGAAATTGAGATAAAATGCTGGTACATACTTTCTTTGCTATCGTCCTCTTCAACCTTTATGACAATATCGACAGCATTGTCATCATCGATTTGTATTAAAGAGGGTTCCTCGGCAACATCTTCCTCCTCGTTGGTTTCCATTTCTTTGGGCGGCGGCGTTGGGGGATTCAAAGATGCCTGCAAAAATTTATTTTCATTCATAATTTCCCTTCATTGATTTTCCCAATAATTTCCTTTCACCCCCTTACCTTATAGTCCTCATAACACAACGGATGATAGATTTTATCTTCCACCCGGATGGCACAACGTAAATGCCATTCTTCCAATTCTTCGTTGTAGAATTGCTCAAACCGCTCTTGACACATATCACATGCCCGATCAACATCATCCGGACCGGCGGGGCAACTTTGTATGGGTGAATTGGTGGAACGTTGATTGGAAGTTTCATCCATTATTTCCACATCGGTTTGGGGCGTTTCAAAGAAATTCTTTTCTCGCTCATCCAAATCCTCGATCTCTTCGTATTGTATCCAATCGTTTAGCTCATAATACCATTTGCGGGCATGCGCTTTGCGTGAGGAGTCACGTTCACGCCGATTTTGCCGGAAATGCCAATCTAAATGTTGGCTATATTTTATGGTTTGTTCGGGTGGGAAACGGACACCACAGCTGCTGCATTGCATGCCCGAAAACAGGGTATTGACAATGGCTGCTTGTCGTGTTTTTATCGATTCAGGCTTGGACAGATCTATGGGTTTACTAGCTTCCATTGGGGGTTGAGAGGATGGTGGAATGGCGGCAGAGGCTTCTTCAGTTTCTGTGGTGTTCGTCGTGGTGGCTACTTTACCGGTGGCAGCTGTTTCCGTTGTAGAAGAACTGCTTGCAGCTGGTGTGGCTGTCGTAGTGCTGCTGTTTGTATTAAGAGCAGGAAGTATACCACTTGCCCCTCCCAGGATACCGGTGGACACCAGTTTCTGGAACAATTCATCAATGTTTAAATTACTCAAGGCCGCAGCTGGCAGTATGGGCACCGTGGGCTCTGCTGGTTTCTGTAGCTCGGCTTGCTGGCTCATGGCCGCCTCAGTTGTCAGGGGATTAGTGTTGGTGCTGGCCATAATTTCACCGCTAACCGGAGGTTTGGTTTCCACATATATCATATTCTTAATTTGTACTTTTCCTGCAACGACACCCTGTGGCAATGCTCCAAAACGTATGAAGTATTTATTTGCCCCCAGGTATAGGCTTTTTGGTAAGCCACCATATTCTACACGGGTGGGAGCTCCATCTAGGAGAACAGTTAAAAGATTATCAGCAAATTGCACTGTATGTTCCACCTCGCCCAGGCGGAAACTTTGTATGCGAGCATCCAAAAAGAGCGGTATAACATTGTGAGCATCGACAATCATGTTGATTTTTCCCACCACCAAATCCCTGCGCAGTGGCCCAATGTTGACCTGGGGCGGTGGTCCTTCGGCCTTGAGCATATGCATTTTATTGCGTATGGGCACGGTGATGGGTGGACCACCAAAGTAGATTTCATACCAATGTTCATCGATGAACAGTTCGCGGGAGGGAGAGCCGAAACGTAAATTCAAGGTTTCACCATCAATGGTCACGGGTTTATAGTCGTGATTGAATTGCAGGGTAATCGGCTCATGGTTGTCAATGAATATGGTACGCTGGCCATTTTGAAAACCAATTTCACGTGGCTGATCCACCTCCATAAAGACAATGGCTATGTCATCGTAGAAACGTATCTCCTTGGCGCAGCCATCAATTGTAATGGTGCGGACAATATCTTCCTGGGGATTATCGATGGAATTGCAGGGTTTGGGCATCATCGGGGGAGGTATAACAGAGCCAGAACCGGCCATTGGAGGCATGCCACGCATGGGACCAACCATGGGATTGTTATTACCTCCTTTTCCAAAGTGTTGGGGCATGTTATTGCCAAGCCCGCCACCACTACCGCCACCGCCCATGGGCCATGGTGGCCGATTATTGGGCGGCATATTAGGCCGGAAACCCATGGAACCTCCAGGCGGCCCACCTCGTTTATTTGGTACCATCATATTATTCCAAGGTCGTTGCTGTTGCATTGGACCCACACCACCTGGCATCATGGCATTGGCATTAGGAGGTTCAATCACCCTATCACCCCATTTTGAGGTCTTGTTTCCACGTTTATCCCTGCGATTGTTTCCAGCAGCACGCATATTCTGTTCCTCATTGGAGTCGGTGTTATGTTTATCATCCACCAGACGCATAGGTTCATCTAAATTACCCTCTCCACTGCTTACAGGGGAATCACTTCCTGCCGTGGTCTTGCTTATTTTTGGTATACGTTTCCTTAGGACTGCATCGCGGGCGGCATTACGTTCCGAATCATTGCTGGCGTTGTCATCGTTGCCAATGATTTTATCCTTGAACGTGTTGAGCGATTCACGTCGCTTGGCCTCCTTCAGTTTGTTGTCCTCATTAATGGACATCACCGTTTTGACCAGATTTTTGTACTGATCTTGATTAATCGATTTCGATTCCAATAGCTCTTGGGCCTGGGCAATCATGGTGCGTATCTTTTCATCATTTGCCTCCTGGGTGTCTTCGTTCATTTGCAGTTCGGCCAATTTGTTGCGTTGTTCCAAGTCACGATTTGATTTATCTGGAGAAATTCGAGAGTGGAAAAAATAAATCTGGTGAGCTCATGGAAGATCTTTCTATACATACCAAGTTTCAGCATTTTATTCAACTTGGCAGTTTTGGCCAATTTGGCCCTGACATCATCTAGACTAGACTTCTTAATGTTAGAGGTTGGTTTAGAACTGCCATCAGTCTGGAAAATTGATTAGGGTTCCGAGTTATGATTTTAAAAAAATTGAAACATGATTAGCTAAGCAAATCCTTACCTTGACATTGTCCCAATTTTCATTGGTTTCATTTGTCACACTAAACGAGGGAGGTGGTGGAGCTGTTTCTTCGGCTGTATTTCCGCCGCTAATGGGTGGCATTAGTTGTCTCAAATCTACATCCTCGGAGCCAAATAAACTGAGAATAAAAATATTTTGAAAAAAATTTTGTGTCAGAATGTTGGAAATTAAAGGATTCCCGCAGTGTCATCTCACTTACTTATCAAGTTTTGTTGGTTTACTCTTTTTGGCCAGGGGTTCCTCATCTTTTATTGGAGCCAGGGGTCGTTTTTTGACATCTTCCTCTGAATGATGATCTTTACTTACTTGACCATCCACTGAACCACCACTACCTGTTGTTTCCATTTTAGTGTGCTCCGGTTTGCTTTCCTTCGGCTCCATTTTGCTTTCCATAGCCGCTGGCGATGATGATGATGAGGATGAATGGTCATCGGAGAGTAGTTTTTCTGTAGATTTTTCTAATTTATTAACATTTTTTTGAATTTTGAAACAAACTTTTGTTGTTGTTGGTTTTGTTGTTGTTATCGCTAAGGATGATGATGATGACGACATCGCTAGATTTCTAGCATTATTTGGCGCACAAGAAATATCCTCAAGATTCCTAATAAAGTTGGTCTTGGTCAATGATTTTGGATCTAAAGAGGAAGTGTGTTGCTGTTGCTGTAACAATAGTTGGGGCCTCAAATCTATATCCATCAAACAACCTGTAGCAGTGGAGACTTCCGTCGTTTGCAAAGACGACGACAACGACGGAGACAACGGCAAAAACGCTAATTGGGAATTTTCGGAAATTTTACAAATATTATGTTTTAAAATTGAATAGAGAGACAGAGAAAGAGATAGAGGAGAACAATAACTAAAAACAGAAACTAAAATTATTTTTTTTTTTTGGAATTAAAAAAAAACTAAAAGGAATCTCAAAAAAAGAAGACCAACTCTAAAACGGGGTTTACACAGGCGCGCAGAAAGCTTTTTTGTTTTAAAGAAAAATCTGAGTTTTTAGGAGTCTAAGGGGAGGGAGGATAAAATAATATTTCTCCCAACTCATCGTAAATTAGGTATAGGAAATTTTATGTTAAAAAAAAAACAAAGTGTATGGATAAGAAAGAGGTAGGTAAACGTACACTTAGTTTATCTTTTTTCCCGCCTGACTCCTTGACTCAGAGTTTTCTTTTTCAACTTTCTCTGGCTGCATGTCCCCCGTCGACCATTAAAAAATAATAAAAAAATAAAAAAAACGAACCAAGCCGACATCATCACCACAACAGAAAAAAAAGATACTTAAAATTAAAAATACATATACTTAGGTTGAATGTGCTGCAGCAGAACATTGTGAAATGTATTTTCGATGGAAACAAAAATAAAGAATAACTAGGATTAAGTGCTACTCGATTTAGATACCGGTTTTAGGTCACATTAAAACAAAAAAAAATAAAAACTAACAATAGTTAATTGCTTTAATAACATCTCTGGAATTGCAATACCTAATTGACCCATTAAAAGTTTAATATAGGGTTGCACATAGTCTGGATAGTAGAATCTTTACATTTTGTTTTGCATAAGAACCATTACAACAAGGTCCTCTGACTTACCACCAATGCACTTCAAAAGTTGGTAGTGTAATAGACACTCTTCAGGGAGACATTACAATAAAATATATTCTTTGTTTAAAAACAATAAAATAAAACGATAATAAATAATAAATAAATAAAACGAATAAAAATGATAATGAAAATAAAAAGAAGTAGCCTCAAAAGACCTCATATAGTTGGGAAATCATTCGAAATTTCTATTTCTATTGGTAGAGGCCTTTTTGGACTTTCGGAATCTTTTCTGATCTATTTAAAGGAGGCCTCTAGATACGAACAATCTGTATAGAGATTTAAACAAACCCACTTCTTCTTAGACCGAAGATTTTCACAAAATCTTCTTTAAAGATTCCCCTAAAGATAGGTTTCATAAAATCTTTTGTTTTTTACAGAAAGATCGATGAATGGTTTTCTATTCCAAGGGAAAAGAATTCCAATACAAAATAAAAGTCATCGAAGGGTCTTCTAATGAAAGAAAATTTCTCCAACGTCCAAATATGTCCCCAGATTTTTCAAAATGTTCCCCGAAATATAGGAAGCGGCCATTGAAAATATTCTTCCATTGGGAGGTCTTTGAGCAAGTTTTTTTCTGTGCATATTTTTTTTTGGGCCTTCTCCATTCCACTTGCAGTAGTAGAGTTATTTTCCGGCATTAAAAATAAAATAGACCAAGATTTATGAAAGTATAAACTTTTACAGGAACGTGTTTATGTTCAATAATTGACAGGAGATTGGCAATTAAAAGAATTTCACTTTCAAGTTAGTTTTACATTATTCTGACGGTATAAATGGAAGGATTATATAGATTTTGTTCTTTGACGAGGCTCTTTGAGCTCTAAAACTGTAATTTAACTTCACTTTCATCAGTTAGTAACTTGTTTTGTACGTTTTCCATTTTGAGGTTATGTTAATTTTTTTTACTGGAGAAATTTTGTTGGCGACACTTTTCAAAAAGGTTAAAGGAAATGCCATCTGGTGGCATATTTTCTTTAACACCTAAAAATAATTTTTCTTTATTATTTAGCCAAAAAATTTTCACGTTTGAGCTAAGGTTTATGTGGTCTTTTTGCTTGGGGTTGGTTATCCAACTCAGTATCATTACGAGAATTATGTAAATACTGTACTTTGGTAGGTCTTTTTGAACTCTAATAATTTTTTTCATTTTTTTTTTTTTTTGTAATTTTTCTTTTTGAGGTTAGGTTTAATTATTTACTTGGCGTTGGCGGCACTTTTAAAACGGCAAAAGCAAATTACATCTGGTATTTTCTTTAAGCCTGTAGCTTCACTTGATAGTTCAATTAATAGATTTTGAGGTTAGGTTTATATTTTTTGCTTGGGGATTTTCCAAACGTATTCATTACGATAATTATGTAGATTTTCTAGGGGATATTCCAAAACTTCCATTATAAGTATTAATGACGAGATTTTATAAACTCCAACATTTTAAATTGACTTGTCGATCTTCAGTTAGTGGTTTTCCATTTTGAGGTTAGATTACATTTTTTGGATGGAGGAATTAAAAACAAAAACTTTTCAAAGATATGTGAACGTTGTCTATAAACAATAAATATCTTGTGGAATAATTCCTTTAAAAATGTAAAATCACTTCACTTGATATTTCAACAAAAAAATATTTTCACTTTTGAGGTTAGGTTTATGTTTTCGGTGGCTTGGGAATATCCTGCAACATTACGATGATTATATCTATATATATCTTCATTAAAATTCATTTTTCTTCCATCATTGTTGGAATTCCAATTTGAGGTTAGGTTCTTAAAAAAAATTATAGCTTAGATATTTTGATGAATTGAGGATGAGTATCAAATTTTCCAACCTTTCCCCAATAATGATTGAGCCCCCATATGCATAATTTATATAGATGGATACATTTGTTTTAACTTAAATCTAATGTGACGTCCTTGCCTTAAAAAGTCTCTTCAAGAAGGACGACCCTCCTTGTAGGGGAGAGAGAGAGGGAAAATCTTTGAAAATACTTTTTATCGGCGCAAAGTCCAATGACTGTCACTTTTTGGTATCGAGTTTATCCTTTCAGTTTGTTAAACATCGAAGATACATTTCTGGTGCATACACACACACATTACAACATTTTTTGCAACTACAAAACTATTTAATAAAAAAAAAAACAAACAAAAAATAATAATTAATAAACCAAAAAATTATAATCTAAAGAATCTCAAATATAGTTTTAAATTTACAAGTTATTATTGTTTTTTAATGTGTCTTGATATTTTTTATTTTGTTTTCGTTGTATTTTTTTCTATTCATATCATTCTATAGAGAAAGACAGAGAGAAAACATTGTTCTTGTTTTTTTTTGCATACATGTAGTATTTTTTTAATATAGGGATGCTGTTTTCAATCAATACTCTAACAACAAAAGTTCTTATTACAGTTATTTGTCGTTTAATATTCTTATTTTTTGGTTTTATACTTATTTTTATTATAAATAAATACAATTTAACAAAAAAACCCCAAAGAGTTGAAAATATAAAGAGAGGGAGAGAGAGTAAAAGCATACAACAGAGTGTTTGGTGGATGGATATTAAGGAACAACTAGGGGTCAATTAAAACAACGTAGGGCAATTTTTTTAAGCAGTTTATTTGTTTAAGTATTAAAATAATTTAATACTAATTATAATTTTTGGTTTTCTTTGCGTTTTTTGTTTTCTTAATAGTAAATTACTAGTTTAGTGGAGAAAAAAATAAAAAAAAAGAACTACTAAATTCGGGCTCTCTTTGATATAAAAAATTCCCGTTTTTTCCTTTCTTTCCTAATTTTTGGTAAATATCACAGCTAATATATCACAGATAAAAGTTTGTACACCACCCGCCTGCCCTTTAAAAGCCCAGACCATGTGAGAAGGAATCGTTTATTTTGCTTGCATTGTATTGGTTTTTTTTCATATTCATTAATATCATTTCCGTTGCATGATAACAATTATAACCTAGAAATACCTCTGTAAAATCCTGTCGAAATCGGTTCATAGTAGGACCGGCCCGACGTACTTTCCTTACGGTTTTGATATTGTCATAAGGAAATTTTGACACTTTCTAAATTAAAGGAATCTCATCTAAGGTTTTTTCTAACACATTTCTGAGGTAGGTAAATATATGTTCTTCAACAATAACATTAAGTTTGTCATTCATTATCCATAGAACCCACCCTTCCCTTCAAGAATAATTCACATAGGCCAAGTGGTGAGGGAAAATTGAGATCCAAAAAGAGTGATTCAAACAGAGTGAATTTTCTATTGCAGTTCCTAATGCTAGATTTTTCTTTGGTTTTATTTCTTTCTAAGTTAGTTATGAGCTTAGGTTTTTATATTTAACTGAGTGAAGTTTTCTTTCCACAAAAAAACTATTTCAAATGAGCCATGAACGCTGCTTACAAAAAGAAGCTGAAAGAATAATTATTTCTATAGGGGTTTTTAAGAACTCCCAAGTCTTACAATTAGTTCTTAAAAATTATTCTTTCTAAACTAGGGGCATTTTTAGCCAACAAAATGTTTGCCCGGTAGTAAAAGAATCTAAGGTCATTAATGGAAAAATATCCATGATGTTTTCATCATTTTTCATGTATGCTTTTGCTGGATGTTTCGTGTCAATTAATTTGATAGATAACTTCACTGATTTAACTTCCCTTTTTTATACCGTCCATCTTGGAAAGGTGGTTCCGTTTATAACATCCCTAAATATTCGTCGTAGACCCCATAAAGTATATATATTCATAATCAGCATAAAATTCTAATTCAATTTAACGACGTCCGTGTGTCTGCCTGTCTGTTGAAATCACGATACCGCCCACATTACTTGACGTAGACCTTCAACATTTGGCAGAACAATGTGTATTGTGTCTGGGATGGTTGGTATTGAAAATGAGATATATCGGTCCACGTTTTGGTATAGTCCCCATGTAACTGTACCTCCCGATATTCGATATTTTGATGATTTTTGCCACATTTTCTACATGAACATGTCTAAAAATTAGTATTTGTGGGTCATAATGGGTTCTAATGTTTCCTTTACCCTAAGGTGGAGGGTATTTTTTTACTTGTTTTTCCTTATGTCGAAATTTGCACATAAACGAATTCCCAGGGTTCTAATATATCCCTTGCAAATAAGTTTGGATTGAAATAATTACCGCATCTATGAGGGCCCTGAAAAATCTCATAGCTTGAAGTAAGTTGTTGGAATGTCCGCTATCTTAAAACACAAAAACAATTTAAAAGTCAGTGGAAATGGAGCAGTTTTGGTTTCGGGATACCGTAGTATTTGTATTTGTTTGTTCGGGATACCGCAGTATTTTGTTGTTGGAAAATCGTCTGGCTTAACCCCATTATTGTTGTTTTTATAAAAACAAAGTTTGTTTATTAGTGGAGAACGATGGTAATGTTTACCAGGGCGTATAGCAGGATATAAGTTTCGGAAAGAGAAACCAATCTTCATCAGTTCCCTTGCTTTATGTCTGTGATATTCTCCCCAGAAATTATTTTAAAAATAACTTCTACGACAAAAAACTTTTTTTTACCAAAGTGACAAGTTCGTAAGCTCAATAGAAGAGGAACCAAAGAATTACATAAAACTAAAATTCTTTTGGAAAAACTTCTAAATCTTACAACCGCACTTATACATATTTTCATCTTTCTCCACTTGTTATGCTTTCGTTTTACATAAACGAAGTAAACATTACCATTGTTCTCCACTAATAAAAACAACAATAATAGGATTAAGCCTGACCGTCAGTGGAAATATTTAAAAAGATATTTCACAGAAAATGAATATTTATATAACAACTCATCTATGTCCTGAAAAACTTTTGGAACCCTTCCTATTTCAAAAAAAAAAATAATAAAAATAATTTTTTAAAACAATTTTTATCTGCAATCACGAGAGGTTGTGAAAATTCTTTAACACATTTTGTTTATCGACAGAAACCAATTTGGAAGATTTGCTACCAATATAAGACCTTTTCAAGAGGTCTCTTCAGATAGACTTTTCTAACACGCCCTTTGCATCGAATACTTCATTCTATTTTTTAAACATTTAATTTTTTTCTGAATTGTAAATAAATATTCGTAATTTATCATTTTTCCCCTCTATCCAAAAAAAAAAAAAAAAAAAAACAATTTGTACGATTTGCTACAAATTGTGGATATCTGGACTTTTCCCAGATATCCTTTGCATCGAATACTTCATCCCATTTTTTTAAACATTTAAAAAATCATGTTCCCTCTTACATTGTCAAGCAAAATTAAACGATTCCATAAAACAGGAGCGCACCAACTGAAAAGCCATTGAGGCATCTATAGAGAAAAGAGAAAAAGACATCCAGATAATATCTCCACCCCCCATACTCTCAAAGAAACACAAACAGAATACCTAACAAAACTCTTTGGGGTTATTATGTGAAGAAATAACAAATTTCTGACTTTCGAATAAATTATCATTAAAATTAATGCAATAGTTTTGTAGTGAAGGTGACATGTCTTACTTTTGTCTGTATTATTTGCAGACGAAGCAGCAGCAGCAGCAGCTGTAGCTGTTGTTGTGTCTACAATGCTGGTTTTTACATCCTCGCCGCCAATATCCGTCGTTTCCATATCGGTGATTTTGGGTAAACGTTGTTTTTCCGGCGATGAAGCCAACATTGACGATGATGATGATGTTGTGGACATTCTACGGCTGTGGGATCCACTATCTTTATAACTTTCAGCTGCCGATTCGGGTGAAGGACTGCGTGAACTAGTTTTACTACGTCCCGAACGAGAGGATTTATTCGAACGTTTCGAATCACGTGATTTACTCGGTGAGGAACTGGGAGATGATGATTTCCTTTTGAATGCACTCGATAGCGGGGCAATTTCAAACGCGTCTTTATCACATTTTGTGGATGATGATGATGATTTGTCTGATTTGCCGTAGGATGAAGCATATGATGACTTTTTGCGCTCAACATTGGATGAGGTGGAGGAAGATGATGATGAACCTTTGGAATCGGAACGTTTGCGATCTCTTTCCTTATCACGACTGGAACTTTTGCTGGAAGAGCGAGTCGAGGAAGAGCGACTGCCACTTGTGGAATTGGATGAGCTTGATCTTGTGGGTGATTTGCTGCGACTACTTTTGTGGCCTCGATCATTGCGATTATTTGACTTTGTGTCGGATTGCTGTTCGCCATGTGATGATGCTGTTGAGGGAACGTTGGCAGCAGTAGGCGGCTGTTGGTTAGATTGCTGTTGCTGTTGTTGCTGCTGCTGTTGTTGTTGACGCAACAAACGTGGATCACGTTGACGCACTGAACTTATCAATGCCGAATTGACGGGATGAACGCGGGGTTTATTGGCATTATTTCCAGCAGCAACTGTGGGCATATTCACCATGGGAGGAACATTCTAAAATGAAAAAATATAATAATTAGTAAATTATTATTCTTCAATATACCTATCTCTAAAAATTACCTGTTGTGTTGGTTCATTTATCATGCCGGGATGGTGTAGGTTTGGTCGTAAACCTCGGAAATTGTGATGATACATGGGTGGCCTTAGAGGATTAATGGCCACACCGGGGGTTGCCATAAAACCGGGAGCCATAACTCCTGGCATAACTTGGCCCGCAATGGAGGCATTGGCAGGTGGCCTTATACCAACCGTTTGCAAGGCATTGGCCACAACCAAGGCATCAACAGGTGGTAAGACACCCTCTGCAGTTTTGGAAAACTGTTTTTCCTGCTCTTCCAAATGTTTTTTGGTGGCTTCTAGCTCCAATTCAAGTTTACGTTTCTTTAACTCCAACAATTCTCTAGTTTTATCCTGTAGAATTTTCTCCATTTCTGTGGGTATGGCTTGATTTGCCTACAAATTGCAAAAACAAACAATTAAAAGCCGATTCATTTATGAGAAAATTTTATCATGAACTTACGGTTTTTAAAAAATTTGGATTAACGTGTATCGACGGCTGTTTTGCTGTGATGGGCCAATTGTTGTCCAATCTCTTTACCTTGACATCCAAGGCATAGAGTTTTTGGTCTGAAAATACTTCATTCCATGTTTGCCTCAGGGCATACATTCTTTCTCTGATCTTTTCATTGACCTTCATTTTGATATGGGGAGCAAAAATAGTAATGGTTATAAAAGTGATGCAGCAAACGACTTTGGCGGGTTTTTAAACTACTTACCTTTTCAAAAACTCCACAAAATAAGCTGACAATACATTGGCTGAACAGTTGCACATATGTGCCTTTGACATTTTTAACAATTGAATCGATTAAATACAATATGGGCAATTTAAATTCTGGTGGAACCTGTTTTGGTGGGCAAAAATTACATAAAATTTTTCATTTAGGGCAAACTTTACACTGTGAGGTTGTTTTTTATTTTGAAAATAAACATATTTTGTGTATTGTTTCTTGGAAATTTTGTTATGAGAAATAAAACAATTAACTACAATTGTTTATGATAATTGTTTATTTGTTTTTCATATAATTTGATGTATGTTGCTAAAAAATTAACTGCATTTGGTCTTATAAGAGAGTTTGCAGTTCTTAGGAGCACTTGAAATAGTTTTCATGATACAAATTTTTTTTTCGGAAATGCTCAACTCCGTTTCGTGTGTGTGTTTTTAGCTGCTAACCAAGCCAGCCATTTACGCCAACACAGTTTCGAACTCGACAAAATTGAAGTGTACCAGAAATAATTCTTTCCAATTACATTTCAAAGTGTTTTTTTTTTTTTTTTTTTTTCTCCTACGCATTACACTTTTGTTGAGCAGAACTAGCCTTTTCAAGCCTTTATTTTCTCAACTCAATTTTTTTATTTTCACTAACCATCCGCCGATGGGTGTTGAAATTCGGTCAAGTTGTCTTATGACAGCAATACCAATTGTCTTACAAGCTAGCTATTTATCAAATACACTTTATGACTATTAACCTTTGCTATATGTTGTTCAACGACTTTTACAATAACTGGGGCATATTCGATATTTTCTTCGGCCAACATGGTTAGCATGTTTATAAGCGGTTTGCTGTTGCAATTTAAATCCGACAGACTGGATAGATACTCCTCGGCAACGCGTTCTTCACATTCTCGTTGGGTTTTCGTAGCGATATCCATGGCTACGTTTAATTGTGTTTCTTTTTCTGGGCTGGGGATTTTCCTGTGTTTTCACAAATTTGAAACTGAAACAAAAAGAAAATAGACATAGGTTTTATAAAATTTGTGAAAGATGTGTGATTTATAGCTAAGTTAAGGAACTAATAAAATCATATATTTGAAAAAATCTTAATAAGTTATCTACAATGCAAGAACATTTCATGGATTTAGTATGGGATAAATGAAAGACCGATATTTCTTCAAAACTCTTCTCTAGTATGGGCATCCGGCAAACCACCTGCTACAATATATTGATGAGTTAACATTGCATTCGTTGTATATATGTGTTCAAATCCTTTATTCACAAAAGTTATGGCCAACAACACGAGATCATGTTTATTCAGTCATAAATGGCGGGATTTATACGTTATTTATACCGTGTGACAAACGCCAATCGATGAGTGAGATACTGTTTACAAGAGAAGAGAGTCAAAGTGCGGTACACACTAGCAAACAAAGCAAAGAATAATTTTTGATTTATCTTGGGCAATTATAATGGCGACTATTGCCAGTTTGTTTATAAAAGTGGGGTGAGTGGTGCTCAAAAAAAAATCTATAACAAACTTCAAATGTACTTAGTATTTAATATTTAGAAGTTTTAATAATACACGTGTTTTTTTTTAACAATTTAACAATATTGCATAACATTTTCATTAAGATATCTAAATTCCGAAATTGTTTAACATGTCCTTGTACCGCCGTATGTGTCTCTGCGGCTTTTTGTATTATTATAACATGAAAGTAATAATTTATCATTGAGAAGAGAATTCTCTCGGATCCAAATGGAGTATGGTTTACAAAAAAACATTAACCCAATTTTTAAGGAAATATGGTAATGTAACCATGTCAACAAATTCAAAGAACCTTGAAAAATGAGCCTTTAATTTTACATTAAATGCCATATGCAATGTTAAAAAGAGGTTCCACTGCAAACAAAATAAGCCATTGGCTAAAACAGTTTGTGATTCTCTTAACGTGTTTTTACAGCACTTGCATGGAAAGACTTATATTTCGAAATTTCCACCAAACACAAATGTAAACACGCACGCACACACTGGACACACTAAGATTGGCACACACACACACACAAAGTCAGTACTATACACACATATTTATGTAGGTATATGTGTTATTGGCAAACATTTATAGCCCCTTTTTTCATGGGAGATGCCATGGAAAATTTTCTTTATTTCAACAATCATGCAAAAAAAATAATTTCAATCGTGAACATTTTCTTTTTGTACACTTTTGTTAACGAAATTCTCTGTATTTTTAATTGCGTTTTCGATATTTTTGCACTTTATTGTTTGGGGAAAAACACAGAAATCACACATCGTATTCGTCATCACATTGGAAAAATAATATACACACAACGTATGACCTTTTGAATTTATTAACAAAACTTACCTTAAATTTACAAAAATGCTGTTTTAATCAGTCTTTATTCATTAAATAAATATCTTTCACTACTTCAATCTTATGTTTTCTCTTTTTTTTTAAATTCAACTAAACACTAAAATTAAAAGTTCACGTAAGAAATGTAAGATTAAAAACGGAGACGATGCTTCTTTTATCCGATTATAGAAAAATGGCTGACGACGTTTAATTCACCACCGCCTCAATGCAAACCACCTTTTCTGTCAAAATGTGCTGTGGGAAAACACAATTAGGTCGCTTGACGTTAAACGCCCAGGCTGTCGGCGTCAGAACGGCTCTATACATTGTTCAGCGTCGTTGCATATTATTAATATGATAAAATTACGAAAATATAGCATTTTAGTGGAAGAACGGAATATAAAATGCATAAATTTGTATGAATTATTCACATCATTCGTATAAATCAATCTAAATTAGATTTAATGTTCATTGTGCGCGATACTCCGGCAAAACTTCTATGAGAAACGATTTTAAGAGAAGGAGGAAAGGAAAAAATCTTACTGGCATTTCTTATTGTGTTTTTATGTTTACGCAAAATGCTATATAAAAAAAGAAAATTACTAAAATCAATTAAATGAGCAAGTTCATGTTTTAACTTTTTTCACTGAAATGAACCACACGAACTAGATGTAATACACAGAGGAGACTCAAATATTTAGCCGAAAATCGGTTGAGAGTTCCCTTCTTTCTACTGCCGTCAAAAAAGCGACGTGTGTGCCTGAGTTTTGCAGTAAATTTGTTTAAAAAACAAGCCAACTCCAAGGAAACTTACAAGATGATGAACTCTCCACCAGTTTTTATAGACTTGTCCATGGACGAGCAGGTAAGTTAACTTTAGAATGTCCGAAAACATGCAAAACGCAAGAAATAGCCAGATGAGGAATTCGCAAATGTTGCCATTGAGGTTATGTTATGTTTTGTATGTGACTGGTCGACAACGTCTACGACTACTTGTACAACAAAGTTGTGTGGCATTTTGTATGCTAATGTTTGCTATTTTTTTGTTCAGGTCCAGGAATTGAGAAAATATTTCAAGAATTTGGGCGCAGAAATATCTTCGGAAAAATCCAGCAAAGGTGTTGAAGACGATTTGCACAAAATCATTGGTGTCTGTGATGTTTGCTTCAAAGATGGTGATCCAGCACAAATTGATTGTATTCTCAATAGTATTGTCTCCATTATGATTACTGTAAGTAGGCACAAATTAGAAATCGCAACAAAGGTCACATGTTTATTTATTGCAGATTTCCTTGGATCGTGGAGAAAACATAATTTTGGCATACTGCGAAAAAATGATCAAGGCCCCCAATGTTGCATTGACCAAGGTGTGTCTTCAATCTCTTTGGCGATTGTTCAACAATTTGGATACATCGTCCCCATTGCGTTATCACGTTTACTATCATTTGGTTCATGTTGCCAAACAATGCGACCAAGTAATGGAGGTATTCAGCGGCGTTGAACAAGTCAAATCCCAATTTGCAAATTGCCCACCGTCTGCCGAACAAATGCAAAAATTATACCGCCTGCTGCATGATGTTACTAAAGACACAAACCTAGAGGTGTCGGCCAAAGTAATGATTGAACTTTTGGGTACATACACATCGGACAATGCCTGCGTTGCCCGTGAAGATGCCATGAAATGTATTGTTACTGCTTTGGCCGATCCCAACACATTCCTTTTGGATCCCTTGTTGGCTTTGAAACCCGTACGTTTCCTCGAGGGTGATTTAATACATGATTTGTTGTCGATTTTTGTCTCCGAAAAGTTGCCAGCCTACATTCAATTCTATGAAGACCACAAAGAATTTGTTACTTCTCAGGGACTTAACCATGAGCAGAACATGAAGAAAATGCGTTTGTTAACCTTTATGCAACTGGCTGAAAGTAATCCCGAAATGAGTTTCGACACCTTGACCAAGGAACTGCAAATCACCGAAGATGAAGTTGAACCCTTCGTCATTGAAGTATTGAAAACAAAATTGGTTAGGGCCCGTCTGGATCAAGCCAACCGTAAAGTACACATTTCCTCCACAATGCATCGCACATTTGGTGCCCCACAATGGGAACAATTAAGGGATCTTCTGCATGCCTGGAAAGATAACTTGAGTGCCGTTCGAGAAGGTCTAACACAAGTATCAGCTGTACAACTGGATTTAGCTAGAAGTCAAAAATTGGTTCATTAGAAGCGAAATACCATAAGCATAAACAATCAAATCCACTAAAAGAAGAAAAAACACCCTGTTTAAATTTTGTATGACGGTAATATATTTTATTTAAAATGATAATAAATTGTGGAAACCCCCTCAATTGGGTGGTGACCATTATCAAAACACCATTGTTGTCTCGGAATGTTCGGTCTTAAGCTTTAGGTTGAGATTACTAATACTATACGGAGGTGGGCGGTTGACTTGAGTATTAAAGTTCTTCATGAACTTTCATGTGTTGACGTTCCTTTTCCTTGGGATATGCCCAAAAATAGGAGGGAAATCCCTTCACATCACGCTCCCGTTTGACAAAAGCTGAGTATGATGAAATACAATTGCCAATGAAATGATTTGCCATACCCAATATGGCTAAATCTAAATGTGGATTGTCCTCGGGCAACCGATAGGCCGATATGTCCATGCGTTGCAAGGCATTATTCAATTCGCTGATCATATGGTTCGCATCTGAAGCTACAAATATAGAACGTATTTCATTCTTGGGATGATCTTGTTTGACATTTTTAATAAGCCTCTTAATTTGACGTATTATCTGTTCTTTGGGTGGCATACACAGTTCAGTGTAGAGATTACCCTTCTCATTATTATAGCCCAAACATTGGGGTGAGGCAAAAAGTTGCTGGGTATCGCGTATGTGATCACATGCCCTTACCCAATCGATGCCATTACGCAGATGAATACCCAAGAAAGCTCCCTTTGGAAGGGTGTTCTTAATAAATTTAGTGGCCGCTTCGCGTATCTTTTTATTCCATTTAAGATATTGATGTAAATCTCGATTTTCCTTTTGCACAGGAAAACTGGCCGGAGCTCCAGTAAAAGCTAATACTGGCCATTTGGAGGCGGGATACCGTTCATTCCATCTTTCCGGCATATTGCTGTGATGTACATCGAAATGTAAAGGACCATAAAATTCAGATTCCGTAAAATCTATATTATATGTATCCCAAAATGGACCAAAAGGATTCCCTTCTTTGGCATGACAGCCTGGGGCTATGTCTTCTTTTTTGCTGAAACTTTTTCGTTCCATGTAACAGAAGGATATACGGTTGTCCTCCGGCCAAATTATGGGTGCCAACTCTTCCATAAAATCAGCCATTAGAATGACCCGATGATAGTCCTTCAAAGCTTCCACATCGAAATAATTATCAAATGGTACTTGTATTGAACGCATTTCTCCCTTACGATATTCAACCCATGGCGGCAGTATAAGGGTGCGATTTAAGGCTTTTGAGAAAGCCAAGGCGCCAAGAAAATGATCAGCTTGATTTCCAAAACGACCTAAGTGGAAAATAAATAGTATGAGATTGAACTGGTCATTATACTTCACAACTCACCCATGCATGGACAATATGCAATGTATCCATTTGGATCTGCTTCTTGGGCAGCAGACCATCCGGAGAGTATCGAAATAAAAAAGAGCAAAAACAGCATTTTTCTGGCTTCTCAGCAACGCCTTGTGTTTTAATATTCGTTGTTTCTTCTACTCTTAGTTTGATAGTTAAATGCAAATTATAGGATCATTATGTCAGGCTTTACAAAAAAATATTAATTGTACAGTTCATTTATATTTTTTTTAGAAATAAATAAATTGTTATTGTATTTTCCCGGCTATTCGGATGATGTATCGTTCACAAAAGACCTAGTTCAAAATATTCACATAAAGGAACTATGAGATCCAATTGCTAATACTATTTTGCCGGCTGTCAAATCATATAGGGAGCTTCACACACTATATACTGATATCGATAACTTTATTTCTTTGACTATTTGTTCGTGTTTATTCAACGGAATCCGTCTTGATTAATACCATTTAAAGCATATTTTGTGGTTTCTTACTGCACTTATTTAATTTATTAATTGTATTACACATGTAAAAGCGAATGCTATTCTTATTTGAGACATCAGCAGATACATTGATCACAGTTATCGATAATCTAATAACAACATTCTCTCATGACAATATACTCGAGCACAGTCATACATATATCTCCTTCGTTGGTGAGTCTGTGAGGAATTTGTAACGTGGACGATTTACTTTTGGTTGTAGGCTGCTCCTGTTCCAATTTTTGAAATGGCAAAACGTCAACAGCCCATGTGGCAGCCACCAACAGCCAGTGAGGCACCAAAATTACGTTTGTTCAATAGTTTGACTCGACAAAAAGAAGAATTCGTGCCACTGGATGGCAACAATGTCACCTGGTATAGCTGTGGACCCACGGTTTATGATGCCTCCCACATGGGTCATGCCCGGTAATTTTCAAAGAACATTATTAAAAGAAATCGGTGGAAAATTTCTTATTAGAATCATTCTGTATCTTTTCTAGTTCTTACATTTCCTTTGATATTTTGAGACGTGTACTGTCTGATTACTTTGGCTACAACATTCATTATGTTATGAACATCACCGACATTGATGATAAGATAATAAAACGGGCCCGTCAAAACTATCTGTACGATGGCTACAAAGAAAAAGCCACGACAGCTCCTTTGGATCAATTGCTGGAAGATCAACGTGCAGTTTTGGCCCAGTTTCAAAATACATGCTCCAAAAATACTGACCCGGATAAGAAAATTATGTTGGATAAACAATATGATCGTTTAAATAATGCCGTGGAGTTATTGGCCAAAGCTGTGGCTGGGGGTGGACAAGAAGAAATTAGCAAGGCTCGTGATTTTTATCTTAGCGAAGCCAAGGATCCCATTTCCGATTGGTTGGATCTAAAGAAAGGTTCAACAATAAATGACAATGCCATTTTTGAGTCATTGCCGCGCTACTGGGAAGATCAATTCCACAAAGATATGCAATCGTTGAATGTAAGTCAGAGAGAGATATTAATTTTTGAATTTAATTTAATATTTGTGTTCATGTAATTTTAGATTTTGCCTCCTGATGTCCTGACACGTGTCTCGGAATATGTTCCCCAAATTATAACCTTTATACAACGTATTATTGACAATGGTCTGGCCTATGCTGCCAATGGTTCGGTATACTTTAGCGTCAATGCCTTTGATGCCAAGGAAAAACATTTCTATGCCAAATTGGTTCCTGAGGCCTATGGCGATACAAAATCCCTGGAAGAAGGTGAGGGAGATCTGTCACTGGGCGAAGAGAAGTTAACGGAAAAACGTTCCCCCAATGATTTTGCTCTGTGGAAGGCAAGTAAGGCTGGAGAACCCTGGTGGGACAGCCCCTGGGGCAAAGGACGCCCCGGATGGCATATTGAATGTTCAGCTATGGCATCGGATATTTTTGGACCACAATTTGATATTCACACTGGAGGTGTAGATCTTAAGTTTCCCCATCATGACAATGAATTGGCCCAATCGGAAGCTGCCTTTGATGAGGCGGAATGGGTTAAATATTTCCTGCATACCGGCCATTTAACCATAGCCGGTTGCAAAATGTCAAAATCTTTGAAGAATTTCATTACCATCCAACAGGCCCTGCAAAAACACTCAGCATGCCAATTGCGTTTGGCATTTCTATTGCATTCCTGGAAGGATACGCTGGATTATTCGGACAATACCATGGATATGGCAATACAGTATGAACGTTTCTTGAATGTAAGTGCGAAATTGACAATCGAAAGTCAGACACGCTGAACATTTTTATGGGCAATCAAGTTTCTATTTCACCTCTCTGCTGACCGATAGACTTGGAAATTTCTCAAAAAATTGTTCAGAGCCTAACTAAAGAGCAATCAAATATGTAAATAATTTATTTAAATTTTTATAGGAATTTTTCCTTAACGTTAAAGACTTGACTAGACATGTAACTTCCAGTGAGCCGCGTAAACAATTTGATGCCTGGACGGAAGTTGAAGCAGGTCTTCAAAAGAAATTCAATGAAGCGCGGAAAGCTGTGCACAGTGCCTTGTGTGGTAATTAAAGAATTTTTCATTAAAGAATTAAAAAAGTTTTTAAAAAAATCCTCTTTTTTTTAGATAACATTGATACCCGAAGCGCCTTGGATGCTATACGAGATCTGGTAACAGCTGCCAATATTTATATACGCGACAACAAGGATCGTTTGAATTGTTTGTTGTTACGCAAAATTGCCAGCTATATTACCGACCTGTTGCGCATTTTTGGTGCAATTAATCAGAAAACAACATTAGGTTTCCCTGTAGGAGGCTCTGCAGAGGGTACTGCGGATTTGGAATCAACCATATTGCCTTATGTTGAGGCAACGGCAGAGTTTAGAAATCAAATCCGCGAACTAGCCAAACAACTCAAAGCCACAGATATTTTGAAATTGTGTGACGACCTAAGAGATGACGTTCTACCCAATTTGGGAGTACGTTTGGAAGATAAGGAGGGTGGAAAGTATGCTGTTAAATTGGTGGACAAAGAGACTCTCTTAAAGGAACGAGAACAGAAGAAATTGGCCGAGGCCGAACGTTTGTCCGAAAAGGAACGTAAAAAGCAGGCAGCAGCTGAGGCAGCCGCGGCGAAGGAGGCCCAAAAGAAAATCAATCCCAAGGAAATGTTTTTAAAAGAAACCGACAAGTATTCGAAATTTGATGAAAATGTAAGTTGAATGCTTGGAAATTATTTCTGATTGCCATGAATCAATTTCATAAAGGAATCTAGAAAATTTATGGAACAAGAAAGAATTTCACTTGGTTCACTCGTGTCCCTTTGTTACAAGAGATTCTTGTGTGACCTCTAGATTTCAATGGACAAATTTTCACTTTTTTGTTTCTCTGCTTTAAACTTTTACTTTAAGAACAATTATTTTCTTCGGATTTTTTTCCATCTCATTTATCAATTTTTACCCTTCCATTTCCAGGGTCTACCAACTCATGACAAAGAAGGCAAGGAAGTTAGCAAAGGTCAATTAAAGAAATTACAAAAACTTCAGGCTCAACAAGAAACGCGTTACAAGGAATACTTGGCTTCCGTAAACGGTGCTTAAATGTGTAATAAACAAAAAAATGTCCGAGTGTTTTGTAATTTTATAAAAAAAGAAAATAATTTATGTATTCAATAAAACACGTACAACTTTTACCCAATCTCTTATTTGAACTGGACTTTCCAAAAACCCAACTTACGATCATATGCTGCTGCCACATATGGCAGACGATGATGCCAGCAGAGGCCGGCGTACAATTTCAGGCCCGCTTCCACCAAAGGTACCGGTGATTTGGCTGTAAATACCTTTAAAGTAATATCGGGCCTTCCTATGCTTGCCGTTACCATTTCAGTGTTGGGAGCAAATCGTACACATCTACCGCCATCTTCATGGACCTGTTTGACATCCGAAGGTGAACATGGTTTGTGCAACAAATCCCATGTAACAACATCACCATAGGCCAGGGCTGTTATGAAATGACAATTATTCAAAGACCAATCGGCCGACATTAGGGGACCTCGTGGTGCCTCCAATGATATTATGGCCTGTTGTGATCGGACATTATACAGATGAACAACACCCTTCTTTTCGGCCACCAAAACTTTATGCGGCTCCTCCGGATGCCATTTGACCGACATCCCGGCAGAGGACAAACAAAATGTTATGACATTTTCATAATGTGATTCTGAGGACCATATTTTACACGAGTGATCATCACTAACCGAGGCCAAAAATTCACCCTCCGTATCCCAGGCAATGTCATTGACATAATTCGTATGGGCCTTCAAAGACTGTACAGTGTCAGCGTTTTGTAAGTCCGTGCGAAATATACGCAAAATGAAATCGGCGCCAGCCGAACAAAATGTCACGGTTTTTGGAACAGACATCAACGAAGTTTCGGGATGAAATGCAAGGGAATGGCAACGACTTTCATTGTATATATCCTTCAGGCGTTCCCATTCAAAGGTATCATTTTCAGATTCTTCCTGGAATGGAGGGGAAGCAAGTTCAAGGTTTGTTTACTTTTTCGGAATAGGACAGCCAAAGTGACTTACCGGAAATCTTGCTAAACCCAAAATAAGCTTCTTATCGGAGGCAATACAAATGAGACTTGATGCAAAATCCGTTGAACATATCTCAAAATTGTAAATTTGCTCGTTAAAGCTTAACAAATGTGTCGGTGGAGTTCTCATGTTTAAGAAGTTGCGTTTAAAAACCGGCACAGAGCTGGGAGTAAGGATAGCGAAACGAAAATCACTTGGCCAGTTGTTGGCATAAATTTAACGCCGTTAGAAAATGGCGGCATGCATTATTTGAGTGCAAAACAGCTGATTTCCTGTTAACTCTTAAGGCGGTATCACACGACATGTGTCTGAGAGAGAGATTGTCAATTTCCATCTGTGGAAGCGGGGCTGAAATTGTACATCATTTTATATGTTAAATAAAGGAGTAAATTATCTATTTTTATTTAACGAAGATACAGTTAAAAAATTATCGACACAAATTAATGTCAGATATCTAGATCAATATTTTCATGGTATAATTAAGAAGGTAAAGTCATACAATCATATGTTTACAATTTTTTTCAAAATTATTCATTTGACGACATCTTATTGTCAAAAATTTAATTTGAAAAGCCATTGTATACACAGAATAAGAGATAAGTCTTATTTAAAATAACAATGTATCTTCAATAAAATGGGCTAATCTTCAATATTATAAACACTCTATTACATTCTCCATCTTATCATTTATTCTTTCAAACCATATTATCAACATTTTCAAAACCATATTTTTTTGAAAATCTGGTAGCAAAAATAAATGATTTTTTTAATATTTTAATTTTGGTGAATTATTGCACTTTATTTTTATTTTATTTTTTCAATTTGTTTAAACTATTATCTCTTATTATTTGAAAATCTGGTAGCAAAAATAAATGATTTTTTTAATATTTTAATTTTGGTGAATTATTGCACTTTATTTTTATTTTATTTTTTCAATTTTTTTTTTAAATTATTATCTCTTATTATTAATACAAAAAAATAATTAACGAAAAAAATAAATCACAATAAAACTTGAGCTGTTTTTAACACAGAATTTATTTTTGTTTTCTTTTGTGTTTGTCGATTTTACTATCCTTCCCCATTTAGGATTTGACTAAAAATTAAAGCAGAAATATTACTTCACCTGTTGTAAAAAACGGAAGTAAATTTAAATTTTCAATTCAACTTCATGAGACTGACTGACAACCACTTCACATTAAAAGGAAAAACACTTTCCCTTCGTGGTGAAAACTCACTTAAGGATTAACAACATAAAAACACACAACAACACAACCACGCCACTTCAACAAAAAAAAGGATGTAGGATGTTATCAATTAGTTGCGTTTTACACCAAATTATTGCTGCTGTTGTTATTGTTGTGTTTTGTTTTCTTCTTGTCCGTTTTGTGACAGCCACCCTTGGGCTGTGGATATGAGCAACAAACTTATTATTTTTCAAAAGAATTTTTTTTTTCACCATTTAGCGGTTTGATGTTTGAAATGTAAATAGACATTATAGGGATGCCACAATCGTATCTTGACCAAGTTCATATTATCTAGTAGGGATTCTGCAATCGTATTTTTACCATCTGCATATTATCTGGTCGTAACTACACCGCAGTATTACAACATATGTTTCCAACAAATCGTAAATGTTGGACAACAATTGGAAAAAAGCTTTAACAATTGCTATAAAAAGCTTTTAATAAAATAATCCTTGACCCGCTTTAAATTATTTGAATTTTTAAAAATATGATAGCATTATTAATTCATATTAATAAATCTTGAACACAAGAAAAATAAATGCTGCCATGATCATTACTAGAGAGCCATCTATATAGAATGCTCAACACTACAAATTGATACCACTAGAAAAAGGAACCAATTGTACCATCTCTAAAACTCCAGCATGTGAGTTCCAACCTTCACAATGTCACCTTGAAATTGTTCTTTCATTTCAAACGTTGAAGGTTTACCATAAGGTTAACATTTAAGATATTTAGAAATTATTAAAATTAGAAGGTGAAATTTGAAGCATTGAGTAATGGTGATAGTGGTTATAAAACGTTTTTTTTTTCTTTTAGTTAAATTAATAAAAATTTAAAATATTAAAACTAAAGATTGGAGAGTTTAATGCTGAAATATTAGTAAAGAAATATTGAAAATTGCCCAGGTGAGAAAAATAACATAAAACGAAAATAATTTGCTTTTGATTAGTGTCTAACGTCAGGGAATTTGTGCCATTTTTATAATATAGAATATCGTGTTGAAATACCTATTCTCCAAATAAGGCAGAAAGAAGTCAGAAGTGAATTTCTGACGACTTCAACACCGCGGCAGTCGTCAAATTGTCACTTGTAAATGGAGGCACATATTCTGGGCATTAATTTCGGACAATAAGATACCTATATATATGTATAACTCATCATAAGGAGATTATCATAAGTGAGTACAATCATCAAACATATATCAAAAAGTGCCATACAACACCATCTAGATCAATAAGTTACCTTTATTAAAACTGGTATACTTAAATCAAGATATTGTTGTGAATTGGCAAAATAATGATGTAAGCTCCATCTCTACGCAACAATCACATATTTCACACGTGGTTATTTTGACACAAAATTAAAACATTCAAAATTTAGTTGAAACGTAAAGCATATGTTAAGGCGTTAAAAAATATGAATATTGCTATAAAAACATTAGGGTAGACCGAAGAAAAACCTGATAAATTTAATTTATTTTAAAAATCAACAAATAAATAAAAAAAAAAACAGCAAATTGGAGATAAAATTATAGGTAAATGAAGTATTGCCTAAATATAACCTAAAAATATTATATAAGACCCACGTGGTTATGAAATGTAATCCTTCTTCAAATTCAATATAACTTATCTAGAGATACAACAAAAATATATATAACAATAATAAAAATAAGAATAATAAATAACATAAATATTGCAAACAAATAATATTATTTACACAAATCTATTACACCTAAAATATGTAAATATAACAAATTCTAAATTATATTTATACACAAAAAAATAAGAAATTATTAAAAATCTGAAATTATATATATATTTAGAAACCAAATAAGTAAAAATAAGAATTGTAATAAAAATAAATAATATAAATTCTGAACAAAATATCTATACTCAATTAGAAATTGTTATATCAAAGTAAATTTTCTATTATTATATAATACAAAAATTTATATGTTTAATTATTATTAAGGAAACCAAAAATTATTTTTGTTGAAACCAAAAAAAAAAAAACCTATAAATAGTAAAAAAAAAAAAATTTAATATATATATATTAAATATTAAGAATAATAATAATAAAAATGCATTATAAATTTAATTTAAATATTGAAATATTTTGAGTAATAATTTTTTTTAACAAAATGTTTTGAACATTAAAGTAATGGGTTGAATATTTGTTAGTGCGTGGTTAATTATATTTGGGGTATTTTCACTTAAGTCTGATGGCACAGAAAATACCAAGGATGACTGAAATAGTCATATGGGGAGGGAAAAGCCATCGAGGTTACCATCTAAACCTCACCTAATGGAAATCTCATTTGTATTTATTTTGAATTGAAATGCTAAATCTGGTTATAAATCGAACTACATCCGTTTCCTTTGCACTTTTTTTATTGTTTTTAAATTTCATTTTGAATTTCCGTTACAAAAAAATAACACCTATGGTACACAAATTTATATGTGCAGTTGAAGCGGAAAGAACCTACCCATTCCGGCGAGCTAAGCCGCAGCCTAAGACCGCAGTACCATGTCCGCACAAAATAACTGTTACATATATGGCGCCCAACTTTCGAGCTTCTTAAAAAATTGGTATTCCACCTATAACCCAAACTCTTCATTCAGCTACAATCAGTTTATAGGTATCCCGGAAGGCAATTCAAATGTCATATCGTGTTGTACAAATACTCTGATGTAGTGAAATGTCGAGTTACCAATCGATGAAAATGATATTACAATCGTGACAGTATCATAATTTGTGGCTATATAGCTTAATATTTATTTGTACCTCAACGAAAGAAATATTCATTTACATCAATAGGTATAATTCATT